ATCAGAAGTGAACTGTTCTAAACTGCTGTGGTACTTGCTTTTGCTCCAAGGGACGGGACGTAATCTGTTTTGACAAATGAATCCGATGAATCCTTGCTGGCTCTCCAGTGTTCTTCCCAGAGATATACATCATGCCTCGGGCGCTGCTGCTTTGTTGAGTGTGTGTGTACAGGGCTCACTTATACCCCATACAATCCTCCACCCGCTCTAACTTTGCACTTGGGGAGGCTCAGTGAGAAGAGTCTGTGCCCCGCTGGGGGCACCATGTGTTGCTTCTGGGCACAGCAATTACTCCGAGGGTGCTCATTGTTGCTGCTGCTCCCGCTGCTGTGGGGACTGTAATTAATGCCACTAATGGGTTTCCTGCCCACAGAGTTTAGCCACTTGGGAGAATGAGAACAAGATCCACTGCACACAAACGCTTCTCGAGGGGGACGGCCCCAAAACCTACTGGACCCGAGAGCTGGCCAACAACGAGCTCATCCTGGTGAGAGTCCTTTGACCCACAAATAAGCGCCACCCTCCCCACCCACCCCGTTTCCTAGAGGATGCCGTTGGCATGCCACCCAAATAAATGTCATCGTTGCTCACCTATCCAGGGAGAGACACACTTTTTCCGTGGTTAACATTTGAGCAGAAAGCCTGAGATGGCAGCCTAAGTCAAACGACGTGATTGGCAGCAGAGAAGGAGCTAGAGACAGAGGCTGGTGTGCTGGCCACTCTCTGAATGGTACAGCCCAGGGGTGACTTGCTTTCAGCAAACCTCCCCTCTGGCTGGGCTCGCACTGCCTGGACTTTCTGAGGTGTCCTGGTTTATACACTGCAGAAGGGATATTTTGGCCATGTTTCCCATTTTGCTGGCTAGGAAAGGTTTCAGAAATGTTAGCATGCCAGCACTTCAGAGAAGGTTTACCCCTGGACTTAGCCTCCAGTGGCCTTCGGGACCCAGGCAAATGCTGAACTGGGAACTAGAGGTGTGCCGCCTTCAGCATTGGAGGGTGCGGGCACAGACTTAAGGAGTTCAACCTTTGCAAAAGGAGCTTGGATGATGCTGTGGGTGAGGGAGTGGGCTGATGCCTGCAAGGTCTGAGGTTCGCATCCACCAGCTGCTCTGAGGGAGAAAGATGAGGGTGTCTGCTCCCAGAAAGAGGTACTGCCTCTTTCTGATCTACGAAGCCCAAGAGGGCAGCTGTGGGTTGGAATGAACTTGACGGCAGAGGGTGTGGTTTTCAGAACAAACGGAGCTTTGCTTGCAGCCGCCTTTCCCCCTCAGACCGAGCCCCCCAAACCAAACTCACTGCCGTACTCACAGTGACCCGATGCACTACAGCAGAGCTGCCTCCCACGGCCCGAGACGCTGTCTTTGTGGCAGCACAGTGACTCAGCTTTTTGTGGCTGGGGACTCGAACCAATGCCTTTTGGGTTAGCGGCTCAGTGCTTCATCCATGGCACCACCAGGGCTTCCCCAAGAGAAAGGGGGAAAGCGGGTGTGAGTGGCAGGAAATGGTATCCTGTGTTCTCCTCCAGGCATTTGGTGAACGTTTCTCCACCTGCCCTGCCAGCCTGCCCCACCCTAGTGGTTGCTAGCCCAGAAGCTGGAGGCAGAAGGTGACTAGGTGTGATAGGAAAGGTGTTGCTGTGGGACCTGAGCCTGGACTGCCCCTTCCCTAGCACGGGCCCCTGCTGTAAAATGAGGGGCTGGCCTAAAGGCATTCCGGCATCCTTCAGAACCCTGAAATGACAGGTTTGTGCTGCAAACACAAAAGCGGCTGTCACCGAATCCATTCCGACTTTTGAGGCCTCTGAATGTGAGGTGTTCTGCCCTTAGCTGACTGTCTCTGGGCCTTTAACTGGGCTGCATGCTCTCCTCCTGCCTCCCCTGCACTGGGATGATTTACAGGGCTTTCTGCTTGCAGAGGGGGAGAGCTGGCTGCATTTGCAGCCTGGCTGACATCCTGAGGACGGGAGTGGGAGCCTGTGTGGGAGCCATTCTAGGCGAGGAGACCTGGAAAAATCAGGAGGAAAAGGCTGTTATGTGCTCTGTCCCCTGAGACGATAAAAGGGGAGGGGGATTTAGAGTTCTTGGGTGTTACAGAGGGTTAAATAAGCCCATGTTGCGCTGTGAGAAAGGGTGTGATTTTATTAACAAAGCGTAGTACCTGTTGTGCCCAGACAGCCAGGGTTATAGGGCACTTCCAAACCAAACCCCCCCCCGCCCACACACACACACACTACAGTTCTACAGGAGCACCAGTCAGTGGCTAGGCAAACTGCATAAAAGCCCCAAAGGGAGCATTAATCCTTGACGTTTGGGATCTGAGATGCAGGCTTTTGTTTCAAGGGTTGTTATCATTAATAATTCCATGACTGAGGGAGATGCTATCTCCGTATAACAGGAGGCAAATTAGCCTGGTTAAGTTGCAGTAAGTTCACCCAGTACCAGCAGTACATTTCCTCAGGGCTGTAAGTTGCCTTCCTTTAAAAGTGGAGTGTACTCCCTCAAACCACCCTGGAGCATCCACAGAGAGTTTCTTGGGGTAACCTCTCTGCTTTGTTTGCAAGGGGCCCTGCTATTTGGAGTTTTAAGAGCTCGACTGCTAGCCAAAAGGTGGGTCATTCGAACCCCCACTCAGAGACTGCATGGGAGAAAGACCTAATCATCTGCTCCCGTAAAGATTCCAGAAACTCAAACTCAGCTCGCGGCATGGAGTCATGCCAACTCACAGGGACCCTCCAGGACAAGGTAGAATGACCTCTGTGAGTTTCTGAGACTGCAGCTCTTAAAGGGAGTGGAAAGCCTCATCTTTCTCCCTCGGAGCTGCTGATGGTTTTGAACTGCTGCTCTTGTGGTCAGTAGCCCAAGGTATAACCACCACATCACCAGGGCTCCACCCAGGAAGATTACAGCCTAGAAAATCATAAGAGGCAGTTCTTCTCTGTCCCAGGGGTTTCTCACTGAAATGGAATCAACCTCTTGACCTCCAACAGTTTGCTGGCTGAAAAGACCATTTCTAATGTGACTGAAAATGTGGCAATTTCTTTCTTTTTTTAAATGGTTTTATTAGGGGCTCATACAACTCTTATCACAATCCATACATACATCAATTGTGTAAAGCACATTTGTACATTCATTGCCCTCATCATTCTCAAAACATTTGCTCTTCACTTAAGCCCCTGGCATCAGCTCCTCATTTTCCCCCTCCCTCCTCGCTTCCCCCTTCCCTCATGAACTCTTGATAATTTATAAATTATTATTTTGTCATATCTTGCCCTGTCCGACGTCTCCCTTCACCCACTTTTCTGTTGTCCGTCAGGGAGGAGGTCACAGGTAGATCCTTGTAATTGGTTCCCCCTTTCCAATCCACTCTCCCTCTATGCTCCCAGTATCGCCACTCACACCACTGGTCCTGAAGGGATCGGCAATTTCTTCTTAAGATGTCATGAAGGTATTTGTTAGCCTGATTGACATCCTGGAAAGCCATCGTAGTGGTTACAGCCTGGGGAAAGCGTTGAACCCGCCCCCCCCACACACACACACTTGAGTATTCCATCTCATACTCCATAGCCATGGAACTCAAAGAGCAAAGCTTCCTGGGAAAGTAACATGGTTTGGGGACCACACATCTGAGAGGTGAATATACACAACAGGGCAGTCCTTGCCGTAAACTCCCCACTTCGCTTCACATGCACACGCACGCGCACACGTGTGCACACACACAATCATCTGGATTTCTCGCTAACATTGGAGGAAGATAGGACTGCGAGGGTGGCCAGTAACAAGAACAACCGTATCCGTCTGACCGGAAACTCTCTCCTTTGAAAAGAAGCTGGTAGGAGCATTTGCTTCCTTAATCATCGCTCATGACTAATAACTCTTAAGTATTTCCCTGAAACATAGAGTTGGAATAATGTCCATAGCAAATCTTCTCTGGATAAGGATCTAAAGATCCTGGGACACACACCCAAGCTTGGTGTAGCGGGCTGCCAGCTGCAAGGTCAGCAGTGTGGAACCATCAGCTGTTCTGTGGCAGAGAGAAGGGGCTGTCCACTCTCTACTCCTCCAGTTAGCGTCTTGGAAACGGACAGGGGCAGCTGTACCCGACCTACGGGACTGCCAGGAGTAGGTATCGACTGGATGGCAGTGAGTGCTTTGTGTGTTTGAGTCTCTGCCAGTTTCAGGATCTGAAAACGAGGTCCCCTCCTGCAGAAAATTGTCCATCTGCAAACAAATAGGCCCACATCAGACCTACAGACAGAGGACTTGTGATTATAGTGTTGTTGTATTGGCTTGTTTGTTTGTTTTAATATACACACATTGTTTTCCCGGCACCAACTGCCTGTGAGAAGAGAGAGCAAGCCTGTGAATAATTGCTAGTTTGGGGAAGAGACGAGATGGTTGACTTCATTATCATCTCAGCAGAAAAACACCCTCCTCCATCCCTGGAATGATGGGTGCCCTCCCTTGCCTAGTCAAATGTTCCTCCTCACGCTCCTCAAAGCAACGAGCAAACAGAAGCCATCGTGTTTTACCTAGAAAGAACCTTTGGGATCATCCTGTTCAATGCTGCCCCTGCCCTCAGCTCCCGTGGTCCCCCCCACTTGTTGGTCATACAGCAGTTAAGAGCTCAGGGTCCTTCCGGTCATATCCAGAATGCAGAAGGACAGTCTGCCTTCTTGAAGATCACAGTCTGCACAACCAGCTAGAGTCCTGCCTGGGGTCGTGTGAGTCAGAGTGAACTCCACCTACCACCACCACTCGTGGGTTCCAGAACTCAGCCTAACGCTGTCGCTGTGCTTTGCAGCTGCAATCAATTTCCTGGGCTTGCCAGGTGATTTAACTGTCACTTTAACAGCATCTCGGGCTGCCTCCCGGGCTGGACCGCTGCCCTTGGGAAGCACTTTCACTCCCTCTCCTGAGCAATTCCATCTGCTGGCTGATCTCCAGACACCATTGCTCTCCTGAAGTCATTTGAAGCGAGACAGAAATATTCAACATGACATCCTCCCCTTTGCATGCTTAGTTTCAAAACCAAAGCCAGGAAACTTGCATTTCTGACGTCAGACCAGATCCAGGGGCAAAAGAAAACTGCTCGTAGCATACATAGTTCGACACCCCTGCTGCCATGAGGGCTTAAGAGGGGGAAAATACAACCTACTCCCCACCCCCACCAGATGCCATCGTGCTTAGCATAAACGAACAGCACAGGAAATTATCTTTTACAAAGGGTTGTGAACAGGGCAGGAAGTAGCCTTATTAGCGATATGCTAAAACATTTTTGCACAGACATCCGTACTGATTGGTTTTCCTTTCTTGTCCTCCGCAGACGTTCGGCGCCGATGATGTGGTCTGCACGAGAATTTACGTTCGAGAGTGAAGGGCAGCCGGCCCGCTGCGACTTGAGGGGTGGGCTGTGGGCTCACCGGAGGAATATGTCACAGGCCCAAGCTACCAGTGGACCCCTCTTTCCTCCATGGACATTAGATCTCCCCTGATCATGTTGTAGTGTCCCCATCCTGCCTTTATGCCCGTCCTGTCCCTGGTGCTCTGTAGTTTGGCATTTGCATGGTTTCCTCCGTCATTAAACTGGATGGACACGTCTTGGCTCTCCCTTTTTGGGGTTTCCCCTTTCGGTTGCATGGGCTTGTTGGGTCCCTGCAGTCGCTAGGACTGGCCTGGTCTGGGTGACATGCCCCAGGGGTTGCCAACTGGGACCCTCAGATTGCATCCAGACTGCAGATCCAGGTGTTACTGTGTTTTAGGTAAGACAGTTGGCACACCCCACTGTTTTAAGTAGGAAAGAGGGCTCGTTCAAAAGCATTGAGGAGAGCACCTCATAATTTTCTCACAAGCAGGATAAAGCAGAGCACTAAGCCCAATGGAGGAGGATGAGGCCACCAGGGATGAGCAACCAGGGAGCCCTCACCACCCCAGGCCTGAAGATGGGAACAGGGCAGTCGTCAGAGATCAAAGAAGCTGTAGCTTGGGGGTGGAGGGGGCCACTCTTCCAGAGCTGTGGCAATAACATAGACGAGTGAGGCCTCTGCGGAAACCGTGGTCCCAGCCATGCATGTGAACTGAGGGCTGAACACACCTTTTACATCACACACCTTTGAATCTCTCATCTACCTCCCCTGCCCCAGCTGGAATCCAAAGGGCAAGGGTTCTGGAGATGGGGGTGGGGATAGGGAATGGAAAGGTACTATATATGCTTGAGTATAAGCCGAGTTTTTCAGCACATTTTCAATGCAGTTTTTGTGGTAAAATTAGGTGCCTCAGCGGATATTCAGCTCGACTTATACTCGAGTCTATATGCTATTTGCTGTCCACAAGGGTCCTAGGGCATACACAGACAGCAAAGAAGGAATATGAATATGCAAATGAATGATAACCCACAGAGTTGTAGGCTTTCAAAGGTGAAAGTCATTTGTTCTAAAATTGATGTGTTGGCTGCACATCACTTGTGATTATACTGATGCCTGTGATTATACCAAATCCCACTGAAGTGTACACAAACAATGGGTACATTGTACACGTTCAACACGGCAAGTGGATTCGATCTCAATATAGCTGTTATAAGGAGGCGTGGTGGTGCTGTGGGTTGGGCCTGCTAAGTGCAAGGTTGGCGGTTCAAACCCACCAGCCCCTCTGAGGGACAAAGATGAAGCTGTCTGCGCCCATAAGCACTGGCGTCTTGGGAACCCCAGATAGTGTAGCTGTGAGTTGGCCTTGACTCCATGACTGTTTAGAGCTGTTCCATGCTTTGTTAACGAAGGAATGTAGTGATCCCCCTGGGTGTACTGCTGGGGAGCTCTCCGTCCGCAAGGACCAGCTGGAGAAACTGAGCTTCAGCGTTTAGACCCTGCCTGATATCCTCTGCATCTCTCTGTTACTCTCTCTCTCAGGTGCCCAGTCTGGGTCATCTGACCATGGCTGGACCAATCACAAGGAATGGGATATAATGACACAGGACCTCAGGGCAGAGCCTGTTAGCAGAAGAAGGGCAACGAAAGGGGTAGAAATGGGCAGGCAAAGGATGTGATTGCTACCATTCACCTTGCTGGCTAGAAAACCTTGAATACATTGCTTCACTACTTGGAGGCGTGGCCCCTTGCTTTATAAACTATGGCCAGGAAAACGTAGCTGACGTGATGGACGTGGGGATGAAATGGATCCTCTGCATGTGCAGGGGCTTCCAACCGTTGGTGGGAAATGGAATGGAAAGACAGTGACCTTCCCCCACCACCTTTCTCAAGTCCTTCGATGTCCAATGCTGTGCAGATTCCCACATGGATCTTGCCCTCCCGCCCGAGGGTTCCCAACCCTGCTTCCACTTCTCTGTTCTCGGACATTGGCCTCGTCCTTCAGGGCATCTTCTCTGCCTGCGCCTGCCCTCAGAAGTTGGGGGTCTTTGGTGTCTGTCCACCTCACCGGCGGTGCAATTCCAGCCTGCCTGGTGTACACAGGGCCTCTTGCGGTCGTGGGTTGTGATTCCACATGTCTGAGGTTTCAGTCACATTCCCCAACTGGCCTGGGCAGCCCTTGAGACCAGGAATGGCTCCTGCACCCCTGCAGGCTCACAGGGTCTGGCACATGTGGAGCGCTCTGTAAACAGATGCTGATTATCTGACTGATGGAGAGCCAAGAGTTTCTGAAAGGTCTAAGCATTCCTGATGGAAATCTCCGAGGAAAGACAGACATTCGGGGGGAACGAAGAACGGTGCTCGATTCGAATGCCATCAACCAACAGTAAAAGAAGCCTCGGCACTACACCCATGATACCTGAGCAGCCCTCTTTAAAGGAAAACGCTGCCCTGGAAGCGGCTGGCTTGGTTGCCTGCCCAGTCTTTCCCAATCCCTCTCCCCTTGCCTGCCTCCCACAACAAAGACGGGAAAGCTAAAGCTTACTTTCCCAACCCACAGTGTAACCCAATAGTTGCTGTGCGACCCACTTCTGGCCAATAAGACTTGAGGGGAAGTCTGCTAAGGGGTTAGGGGGAAAGTCTTTTTATTCCTATGGGAGGAGAGCCCGAGTAGGACCTCGGTGTTCTCTGCTTCCTGCCACTCAGTATGGCGTGGGGGTGGGATGTCTGCAGCTGCTGCAGCCACCTTGAACAGGAACATCGCCAGGAACAGCTGAGAGGACAGCTCCGAGTCATGGAGACAAGGCAGTCACCATCTCTCTCTGGATGTGTTGAAAGGATTTTAAAAAGAAGAAGAAATCTCCTGTTTGTTGCAGTGACTGGCCAGTGGGATGACCCCTCTTCATAGCGACTTTGTGTATGGTGTGTTGTTCTTGTTGTAAGGTGTCCATGAGTTGCTTCCAGCTCAGAGAGACCCTAAATACAATGGAACGAAGCACTGCCCGGTCCTGTCCGTCTTCACAATTGTTCCTGTGGTCGAGCCCACTGTGGCAGCCAGGGTGTCAGTCCATCTCGTGGAGGGTCTTCCTCGGTTCTGTTACCCCTCTACTTTACCAAACATGATGTCCTTCTCCAGGGACTGGTCCCTCCTGGTAACATGTCCAAAGAATATAAGATGGAGTCTCATCATTTTTGCCTCTCAGGAGCACTCTGGCTGTCCTTCCAAGATAGATTTGTTTGTTCTTTTGGTCGTCTGTGGTACTCTCAATATTCCTATCCAGCACCACAATTCAAGGGCCTCTATTATTCTTTGGTATTCCTTAGTCAATGCCCAAATTTCACATGCACATGAGGCCATTGGAAATATCACGACTGGTCAGGAGCATGTTAGTTCTCAGACAAATAGAATGTCCTTGCTCTTCAACACTTGAAAGAGGGCTTGTGCAGCAGACTTACTCAGTGCAGTGTGTCCTTTGATCTCTTGACTGCTGCTTCCCTGAGGACATTTCCTCCACTCTCCATCTTTCTTTGTCCTATCCTGACACCAATCATTCCCTCCCACAGCACTCTATTTCTCTGCTGAGTTCGACAACCCATTGTAATGGCCACCTAGAACTCACGGGCAATACTCACAGATATAGGGGGTTCTTAGCGAAGCTAACAGGTCACAGCAAATCAGGATCAGAAAGCATTAAGGATACAGCTCCTCTAGGGGCTTAAGTGGAGAGCAAATGTTTTGAGAATGATGAGGGCAACAAATGTACAAATGTGCTTTACACAATTGATGTATGTATGGATTGTGATAAGGGTTGTATGAGTTCCCAACAAAATAATTAAAACATTGTTTGTTTAATATATTCAAGCATATATGTTCAGTAATTGTAAAATAAAATGAATACATACTTTATGAAAGTAAAAAAAAAAGGATACAGTTCTTTTGCTGACAGTGCCTCACCTCAGCCCTGCTAGCAGGCACATCTCTGTGGTCCTTGGCTTCTCAGACATGTGACCTCTTGGCCACTGCCCTGCTTGGTCAAGCGTTATACTGCTCCTTTAGTGGTGACACATGCCTATAGGGCACCCCACTCTGCAAACCAGCCTCTTGCCGTAAGGTACTCAGCTTTGCTCGTTCCATGTGCCATTCCAGGCCTGCCATTCTGCCTCATGGTCCCAGCTGCTGTCCGTGGCTCCGCCTCATGGTCTGGGCACATCCCCACTGCCTCTCCACGTGCTTTACCCATTGCTCATCTGTCTTGCTGTTGTGGGATTCTCTCTCACTTTATACCCAAAGGAATGGTAAAAGGACCGATTCTCTTCTGAGAGGCCTCTACCCTTTACTTATACCGCCATTTGGTGGGAGTTACAAAGACGATGGATACAAGAGTCATACCGAGTAATTTCACTCTACTGCACACAGGGTGAAAACTTCATCTTTGCCCAGTCCTCAAGGGCGAGGTAAAGGCAAGTCAGTGTGGATTTTTAATCCTGCCTGACAGCAATCCTGAAATTGAAAGGATTGTAGTGCTTATTCCAGTTCCACCAGCCTTTCCCTTGAGTAACACCCCCAGCAGGGCAGAGATGGAGCCCCAGAGAGGGGAAAAGACTTGCCCAGGTCAACAAAGAAGTGCTCATTGAGATAAAGATGCTTCATTTTCTGAACTAAACTGCCTTAAAAAAAGTAAAACATATTTAAAAAGATATATCCAAGCACATGAAAAAGCAGAGAAAATAGTGTAATAGTTGCCCTTTGCCTCCAACCCCCACCCCAGCTGCCCGTCAGCTTCAACAACCACCTTGGCCAATCTTCTTTCACTTATTCCTCACCCAGCCTCCCCTCCCCAGATTACTGTGAAGCAAATCCCAGGTGTTTTAAGAATTCATCAGTAAATACACCAGTGTGGTTCTCTAAAAGATAAGGATTCCCCCACCCACCCACAAATGATGACACCATTACCACACTTAAAACTAATAATAATTGATTCATGTGATCAGAGATCCTTCAGTGTTCAGTTTCTCCCAATGGACTCATAAGCTGTTTACCCATTTGTTCAAATCAGGGTGAGGAAAAAAAATCCATACTTTCTTTTTTTAATCTATACATTCCCCTCTGCCTGATTTTCTTCCTCTTTTTAAGCATAATTTGTCCATGGGAGAAACTGGTCGTTTGTCCTGTATAGTTTCCCACTGTCTGGATTTTGGTGATTGTAATTTCTGTGTGCTACTGAACATGTGCTTGC